TTTCGCATTTTCAGAACTCTTCACACAATGTAAAACTCCTAAGACAACCCCTGCTACAAACATAAAACCATTACTTGAGCACGCAATGGAAAAAACACCATAAACTATTCAAACTGTCCACACCTCGTCTTCATCATGTTGGTCAGTCTGCTCCTTCTGCTTGGCTTGCTCCTCCTCAAGCTTTTCTACTTGATACATCCAAAAGTTCTCCATGGCTTTCAGTAAACAGTCAAACCCAGCTGAACCTCGACAAGTGTGGATGAACTAACGTTGAGAATGGCAGTGCGTCGTGGTTAAATACAACACCAGTGTCAGCTGCTCAGGTGACACTCAGGATTTGGTATCAGGATTCATCATGGAATCAACAGGCTGGGTCTGGATTTGCTCTGCTGATGCTGTGACATCATGTCATTCTTTACCCATCATGTTCATTTACACTGTATGTTGTGTACGAATTCATCTACATATGAAGTTTAAAGCAGAGGTGTTATTAAAACCACCCAGGCTGCAGCTATGTTCTGATCACGGTGATGTTAACAGGAAAACAGCCCAGTTCTATCTGTCATTGGATCCTCACTGAATTATTTAACTCGTCTTGCCCTTTACCTCTCTCTCTCTTTCTCTCTTTCTCTCTCACCCTCACTCAATAAATCATTGGGAGGAGGGAGGGGGAGTGGCAACAGGAGGGGGAGAAGAAGAGGAATAGCACATGACTGGGATTTCTGAGAACAATGTTTGCATTAGTCACCATGACCAAACAGCTATATAAGAAAGCCAGTCAGGTCCACATAGTGCTATACAGTCTGTGGGAAGGTTTCTGAGGGGACCATTTGTATCCTGGGGTTCTCTTTACTTGAGTATTTGCTGTTAGATGTTCAACAGACTGGAAACATTTATTCTGACTCTGTCATAAAAGATACACCTACCATCACCTCTAAAGCTCAATAATGATCATGTGGAATCTGGCTTGTTTAACCTGAACAGAAATGTAAAAACAACAATTATTGGTTTTAGGAGGCGATGTGCTCTTTATGATAAGCTAGGCTAACCACGTCCTGACTCCAGCTCCGTGCTTAACACAAAGATATGAGTCTAAGACTTGGTTTAAGGGTTGGGTTATGTTTAGGTTAGGGTTAGGCACTTAGTTTTGATGGTTACGGTTAGGGTGAGGAATAGGGCAGGGGTCAGCAACTCTAGGGTTAAGGTTATCAAATGTACAATGTCTGGAGCTGCAGAACCATCAACATATAACATGACCTAATAGTGAAGCCAAAACATTCCGCCCTCTGGTGGCTGAAATTCAAATCAAATCATATATACACTTATCACACTGTTGTATGTTCAAGAGTTCATTTTTCTGATCAGCTTGGTTTTAATTACAATCCTTCATTGATAGCTCAGCCCTACACAAGGCGAGTCGGCCGGGTGTATGGTGGGATATCGATACCATGGCGCCAACTCTGATCACTACTGCACACTACTGGCTCTGAATAGAAAAAGGTGGCAGTGGTATATTTTTAGCTATTCTAGCTGTCTACACAAGGGATGTTGCTATATACTCAACCCCTGATTCATTACAATTTAAACATTTTTACAATTGCTTAATGTAATAATTTAGGTCTACAACGATAAAAATATAACATTTCCATATAAGTGTTTGTCAAAGCCATACTGGAGCGGGACTAAGGCTCTACATGCAGCTCTGGAGCCACAGGTTACAAAGGATTGCATTATGTCAATGAGGAGCCCCCACAAATATTGTAACACACAAATGTGTGTGCGTGTGTGTGTGTGTACATAGGTGCTTTCTGTTGGAGTGCCTTCATTTGCTCAATATTTTAAACAGAAGCTCATTGTTGTGCTAAAACCAACCTCCTGTTCTTTCTAAGGGGTTTACACAATGTGTAGAAGAGTGGGCTACACAAACACATACACAGACACACTTATTATGAGGCATGTGTGTATTGTTTTAAATAATGTGTTATTCATTAGCATGGATAATGGCACACTCAGAAAACTGTGCTCTGTTTGTGCATCATCTATGAAGTGCTGTATACCCCCCAGAAAGCTAATTCACTTTACTTCATTCATTAACTTCACAATATTGTTTGTTTTATGAAAAC